ATGTCCATCAAGATTTGCTTTACATATTTGATATTTTTAATATATTTTATTGGTTATGCTGTTACAGTTGTCCCATTTTCTCCCCTTCACTCCCCTCCACCCTGTACACCCTCTCCCACCCACATCCCCCGCTTTGTTCATGTCCATGTGTCATAAGTTCTTTAGCTTCTACATTTCTCATACTATTCTTACCCTCCCCCTATCTATTTTCAACCTACAATCTATACTACTTATTCTCTGTACCTTTCCCCCCCTCTCCTCTTCCCACTCCCCCTGTTGCTAACCCTCCATGTGATCTCCATTTCTGTGGTTCTGTTCCTGTTCTAGTTGTTTGCTTAGTTTCTTTTGGTTTTGCTTTAGGTGTGGTTGTTAATAATTGTGAGTTTGCTGTCCTTTTACTATACATGTTTTGTTTTAAATCTTCTTTTCTTAGATGAGTCCCTTTAACATTTCATATAATAAGGGCTTGGTGATGATGAACTCTTTTAACTTGACCTTATCTGAGAAGCACTTTATCTGCCCTTCCATTCTAAATGAAAGCTTTGCTGGATAGAGTAATCTGGGATATAGGTCCTTGTCTTTCATGACTTGGAATACTTCTTTCCAGCCCCCTCCTTGCCTGTAAGGTTTCTTTTTGAGAAATCAGCTGACAGTCTGATGGGAACTCCTTTGTAGGTGACTGTCCCCTTATCTCTTGCTGCTTCTAGGATTCTCTCCTTCATTTTTACCTTGGCTAATGTAATTATGATGTGCCTTGGTGTGTTTCTTCTTGGGTCCAACTTCTTTGGGGCTCTCTGAGCTTCCTGGATTTCCTGGAAGTCTATTTCCTTTGCCAGAGTGGGAAAGTTCTCCTTTATTATTTGTTCAAATACATGTTCAATCTGTTGCTTTTCCTCTTCTCCTTCTGGTAGCCCTATAATTCAGATGTTGGAATGTTTAAAGATGTCCTGGAGGTTCCTAAGCTTCTCCTCATTTTTTTTTGAATTCTTACTTCTCCATTCTTTTCTGTTTGGTTGTTTCTTTCTTCCTTCTGGTCCACTCTATTGTTTTGAATCCCAGGTTCCTTCCCATCACTATTGGTCCCCTGTTCAGTTTCCTTCATTTCTTTTATCATAACATGCATTTGTTCATCTAATTTGTGCCCAAAATCAACCAATTCTGTGAACTTCCTGATCACTAGTGTTTTGAACTGTGCATCTGATAGATTGGCTATCTCTTTGTCGCTTAAAAGGATGAGTTCTGGGGCATTGATTTGTTCTTCTGTTTGAGCCATCTCTCTCTCTTTTTTTTTGGTCTGGTTGCTCCTGTTATGGTGAGGGGCAGAGCCTTAGGTGTTCACCAGGGTTGGGCACCCTAGTCACTAGATTGTGAAGTTGTGTGTGGGGGTGGGGTTGAGAGGGAACAATGGTGTAGCTTCGTTCTCTGTGGGACCTCAGTCTCTCCTCTGGGATCCTGGGTTGCATGCTCTGCCCTGCTCCACAATCACTACCTCACTGGGTCTGCCAGCTGCCGCTTTCATACTTAGGGTTCACCCGCTGAGATCTTGCATGCCCCAGATGCCTTACACACCCCTGGGTGTCTCATGAGCCCAACTCTCTCTGCTTTCCACACCATGACTCGAGCCTGGCTGCTCATCTCTGTCCCTCCTACTGGTCTGGATGAACGGGTCTATTTCAACTTCTTGGCTGTCCTACTTCCATTCAGATAAATTCTCCGTCAGTTCTGGGGTTATTCTGCCTCTAAATTGTTGTTGTTCCAATCTTGGTTGTGTGTGGAGGTATGGTGCATCCACCTATGCTTCCGTGTTGGCCAGAAGTCCACATATTTGATATGTTTTTAAAAAATTATTTAAGTGAAGATAGGACACTGAGCATCCTTGAACCCTGTTTCAATATGTCTGTACTGCCCCATCCCCAAATGCAGTGTGTCTATCCTCATTGTTCCCTGTGCTTCTGTCTGGTCCTCGCATAAGGTCAAGTGGCTATGCCACCCCTTCATGCTCTCCCTCTGCCTGTGGTTCCCACCCACAACCTGCCAAGCCACATGCACCCAGAGTCAATGTCCCAAAGACCCTCACCCCCAAAAGTCCACAGTTTATGGCCTGGTAGTAGGGAGGGGGAAACCAAGGCACAGGACGGAGAGTGCTGCCTGTTTCTGAGAACCGGGAACCCTGCCTACAGTAGGTTGGGTCAATACTGAAGGTGTTAAACTTGTGGGGAAACTTAGGGTTCCTGATCTAGAGGTAAACCTGGGGATTGCTTCCTCCTGGTTGAGGGGTATGGTTGCTGCTGCAGAGATAGGCAATTGCAGGTTTCCATTCCTGGGGCTTGACTATGTATCTAGGAGTGGCCCTGGTAGTAGGGATGGCCCTGTGCCAGGGGTGTGGCCATCCCCTGTTGTGGGCCCCTGAAGACCCCTTCTCCATGCTGTGGAATGGACCATCAGTACACTGTAGAGCCCGTTTTGGTGTGCACCTGCCACTAGAGACCCTGAGTATCACAGTCAACTGTGCCTAGTGTTTCCATGGCCAGAATATCACCACTTCCATAGAAACCAGCTTGGCTTCTTCCTTATTTTTGGCTCAGGGGCACAGCTCACAATGGGGGCATCCCTCAAGCTGTGCTCCTTGACCACCACCCAGCATGGGCTGCTTACCAGATCTACCATAGCCTGGGACCTGTCTTTGTTGGCCTGGCAGTGCTAGACTGGGAAGAATGGTGTCCACACTGGGCTAGGAACTGGAGCTGCCACCAAACCTATTAGGAAGGCCCAGGGGCTTGGGCACAGTGGTAATTCCCTGACCTGGGCCCTCAGGAGCAGCTCCACAAGTCCTGTACTGGCTTTGAACAAGCAACCCATACACTGATGGAGGGCACACTATGGTTGGGCTAGGCACCACAGCCTCATGGACTCTCGGGATTCTGTTACTTCCTGGCCTGTGGCAATGGTTGGCATAGTATGGCTTCCATTACATGGGCCACTGACATGCAGCCACCTGTGCCTGCAATACCCAAGTGCATTGGCTCTGGGCTACCTCCAGCTCCTTCTTCTCCAGCATTTACCTCCCACCCAGGCTGCCATCTGCTCATGTTTGATATTACCTGGAAGAGGCCTTCCAAGTTGTCTGTGCTGGGCATCCACATCCCCTCTCTATCCTGGTCTGTGATTAGACTTTCTTCACACATCAGAGATCTGGGGGGTTCCTGTCTCAGGATGATCTTGTGCAGACCACAATACTGGGGGCAGCTGGGATGGTGCTCTGGGGAGACCTCAGCATCTCCAGCTTTGAAAAGTGCTGGCATCTTCATGACTACCTGGTAGATACCCTGGGACCTTATGTAATTAATGTGACCAGGGTGGCAAAGAGCCTGCAGTTACTAGTGGTGCAATGGCCATGAGAACTATGCCCGGTGAGACCTAGGGCAGCTAGAAGCCTTTCTATACCTGTAGCCAGATGGTATCCCTGGAGCTTGGGAGTTCTTTTGCTGCCACTGTTACTGGGGCTGGGCAGGCCCCACCTGTCAGGAGCCCTGACCTAAGCCTGGACCTGAAGAAACAGCATGAACCCAGAAGTCATCTGCCATAACCCTCTTGTCCCTGCTGCTGTTTCCTAGTCCTTGAAGATTCTGTCCTACTCTTGTTCTACTCAGCTTAGCCAGTCCTCCCATACACATACCCAACTTTCCATGGGATTCCTGGGGAGTAGAAGGGGTCAGAAGAAAACATTTACACTTTTAAAACCAGAGGCCCTTTGAGATCACCTGATTCCTTCGAAAAAGGAAATAGTCCCAGGGAGAGAGACAGGGTTCCAGATGGCTAAGGTTGTCAGTGCAGGGTTCCATTTATATACATCATTTGGTCCATGGAGAGGTAGAAAGAGATCTGTCCAAGGACAGGTGGGCCTTAAGAGCTTGGCTAAGGTCTGTAAGTGCTAAACTGTTGTATGTCATTTGCTTTCATCATAGTCACTTCTCCCTTCAAAAATTTTTATTTACAGTTGAAATACAAATTATATTTGATTCAGGTGTACAACATAGTTATTTGACATTTATATAACTTACGAAGTGATCACCCCAGTAAGTCTAGTGCTCATCTGGTACCATATGTAGTCATTCCAATATTATTAACTATATATCTCATGCTGTAATTACATCCCTGTGACTGTTTTTATAACTGGAAATTTATACAATTTAATCCCTCCTGCCTTTTTTACCTATCTCTTCAATCCTTCTCCCATCTGGCAACCATAGAAACTGCATGATTAACTTCTGAATAAGTAAGGCTCACAGTGTCTTCCTCCATCACAGGTATGTTGGATTTACATCACAAAGCTCTGCTGGGGTCATACCAAGATAGCTAGAGCCAGTGCCAGGGCCCACAGGCACAGTGAGATCCAGCAAGCAGAAATCTGTGGTGAGTATGCAGCAGGTGAATAAAGAGAACCTCTAGAGAAGCATAGAATAGTTGATGGCTGGGTGAGATAGTTAGAACCCAAGGTAGCTAAATAGAATTTACCTAATTCTGTTCCATGCCCCTGGTTTTTATGTCCCAGTTCAAATATCGTTTCTCAATAAGCCTTTCCCCATTCCCACTAATGATGCTCCCATTTGATACAGTAGGTCTGATTAGTACTATAAAAGTTCATTCTGGGGGATTTTCTCCCTTTTAGGTGTAAAGGTAGTGAGAGCTCTTGCCCATCTTGGCAAATAATAAGAAATTACACCTGGCCCATCACCAAAGAATTGAATGGGTGTGGAACTTACCTGAGAGCAGGATTGGACAGCCACAGAGGGAGATCTCCCTGGCTGGTCTCTTGGTCAAATTGTGGGCAGGGCCTTGGAAGGGAGAGGCTCAGGTCTCAGTCTCTGTTTTAATGCAGGCAACTGTCTCCAGGAAATCTGCATTGGCAAGGGCTGACAAGGAACAGTGAGTGAACCCAACCCTGGCACCTATCTACCCTGGAAGGTGCTGTGAATAGGACATTTTTTGAGGCTACAGAGATGGGAGTTGAATGCTGGAGAAACACCCTGCTGCTGCTGGCTGCCCTGGTCCTGGCAGCCAAATTGGGTCACTTTCAAAGGTGGGGAGGCTTCCAGGAGAAGTCCGTGAGCAAGAAAAACATGAATTCAACACTCAAATTCTTCATTGAAAACTACAACAATGTGAGCAATGACATGTATTTATTTCGAATAGACAAGCTACTTCAAAGTCATATGCAGGTTTGTGCCTCAGTCTCTATGAATATGAGCAGTGCCCTAATTATTGCCCATTTGGACATGCATAGATGTGTTGTGGCTTACAGAGAAAGCCAAATGATAGTTTCACCCTCTGGGATGTATCTTCACTTAGAATGGGAGAGCTTTAGAGTGATTCAGACCCCAAGTCTCTTTAGCCATCTTCCAAAATGCTAGTCAAAGGACTGGAGTGAACCCTGAAGTCTATTACTCTTAGTCTAAAGCAAAAATGTTCTCTGAGTTTCTCAACTGTTCTCCTGTCAGAAGAGTTGCTTTCATTTTGAATTGAGGTCCTACCAAAGTAAAAGAAAATGGAGATGATTCTGTTTTCTTTTTAAAAAATTACAGTTGATATACAATATTATTTTAGTTTCAGGTGCACAATCCCATGATTAGACTTTTTTCTTTTTTGTTTTATTATTATTTTTATTGTTGTTCAAGTACAGTTGTCTCCATTCCCCATCCCCACCATTCCTCTCCACCCCTCCCATGTCCCCCTCCCACCCTCAATCCTACCCTCTTTGGCTTTGTCCATGTGTCCTTTATACATGTTCCTTGATGGACCTTCCCCTATTTTCCCCCATTATCTGTCTCCCCTTTCCCCCTCAGGTTACTGTCGGTTTTTTCTTTATTTCAATGAAGTGATCAACTGATACATCTAGATTCATTTGACACCATACATAGTTAAGACAATATTATTGACTACATTCCCTGTGCTGTAGTAAATTTACATCACCATGGCTATTCTATAACTACCAATTTGTACTTTTAAATCCTTTTACCTCCTTCACCCATTTCCCCAATGCCTTTCCTATCTGGCCTTCATCAAAATGTTCTCTGTATCTATGAGTCCCTTTCTGTTCTGCTTGTTTATTTATTATGTATTTTTTTTAGGTTCTACACATAAGTGAAATCGTATGGCATTTGTTTTTCTCTGTTGGACCTATTTCATTTAGTATAGTACCTTCTAGGTCCATTCACATTGTTGCAAAGTGTAAGATTTAATTCTTTTTTATGACTGAATCATATTCTATTATATATAATGGAATAAGGTATATATGTATATAAATGGTGTGTGTGTGTGTGTGTGTGTGTGTGTGTGTGTATCACTTCTTCTTTTTTATTCATCTATTAATGGACACCTAGATTGTTTCCATATTTTGACTATTGTAAATAATGATGCAATAAACATGTGGATGTATATTTCTTTTCAATTTAGTGTTTTGGGTTTCTTGAGGTAAATACCCAAAGTGGAATTGGTGGGTCCTTATTTTCTCTTGCTATAACCATTGTTTTAAAGTGTATTTTGTTTGATATAAGTATTACTCCCCTGCCTTTTTTGTTTTGTTTTGTTTCCATTTTTATGAAATATCTTTTTCTTTCTTTTCACTTTCAGTCTGTGTCTGTCTTTTGATTTGAAGTGAGTTCCTGACACACATATAGCATATGTAAGGGTCTTGTTTTGTTATCCATTCAGTCACCATACATCTTTTGATGGAGAATTTAATCTGTTTTCATTTAAGGTAACTGTTGATAATATGTATTTAATGTCATTTTATTATTCATATTTTAAATATTTTCTCTTTTTCTTTTTAAAGAAGACCCTGTAACATTTCTTGGAATACTGGCTTGGTAGTGATGAACTCATTTAGTTTTTGTTTTTTCCTCTGGGAAGTTCTTTATCTGTCCTTCAATTTCACATGATAGCTTTTTCTGGGTAGAGTAATCTTGGTTGTAGTTCCTTGCTTTTCCTTTGAATATTTTATGCCATCCTCTTCTGGCCTACAAAGTTTCTATTGATAAATAAGATAAAAGTCTTATGGGAGATCCCTTGTAGGTAATTAACTGCTTTTCTTTTGCTGCTTCTAAGATTCTCTGTGTCTTTAACTTTTGATGTTTTAATTATGATGTGTTTTGGTGTGGACCTCTCTGGGTTCATCTTATATGGAACTCTCTGTGTTTTCTGCACTTGTATGCCTATTTCCTTTACTGAGTTAGTTAAGTTTTCCATTATCATGTTTTCAAATAGTTTCTGATTTCTTGCTGTTTCTCTTCTCCTTCTGGCACCCCTATGATGCAAATGTTGGTATGCTTGAAGTTGTTCCAAGGGCTCCTTACACTATCCTCAACTTGGGGGGTTCTTTTTTCTTTTTGCTATTCTGATTGGGTGTCTTCTGCTTTCTTATATTCCACATTGCTGATTTAATATTCTGCTTCATTTACTCTATTGTTATATTCCTCTAATCTATTAATTTCACTTAGTGTATTCTTCATTTCTATTTGATTATTTTTAATGGTTTTCCTTCCCTTTTTAACACTGTTAAGTTCTTACTAAGTTTCTTGAGAATCCTTATAACAATTGTTTTGAACTCTGTATTTGGTACCTCGATTGCTTTCATTTCATTTATTTCTTTTTCCAGAAATTTATGCTGTTCTTTAATTTAGGCCTGGTTTCTTTGTTTCTTCATTTTTGATTTCTTCCTTGTGTTTGTTTCTATGTTTTAGGTCAAACTGCAATGTCTCTGGCATTTAGTAGAGTGGCCTAATGTAGTAGGTGTCTTGTAGGGTCGAGTGGAACAGTCTCCCCAGGCACATGAGCTGGGTGTCCTGTGTGCCCCCTGTGTGGGCTTTGTGCACTGTCTTGTTATAGTTGAGCTTTGGTTGCTGTTGGCATGTCACTGAGAAGGACTGACCCCCAGGTCAATGAGCTGCAAGTACCAACTGTGACTATAGTGGAGGAGCTGCTGTGCAGGGGCCAACTCCACAGATCGGGATTTTCTTCAGTGGGGCTTTGGTGCATTCCAAGTCTGACCTTTGTCATTTGTAAAGGTTGTTGGGTTGTAACCACCTGTAAATGTGGTTGAGTCTAAAGCTGTCTACCCCATGCACTGGCTCTGGGGACTCCCAGGAGGAGCAAGGTCAGCTGCTACCTGTGCTCTGCCTGGGGCCACCCAGCATAAGCTACAGAGTGATCTGCAGATAGCTGCTATTTGTGCTGAGTTTGGGGTCACTTAGCAAGATGTATGGTGTCCACAGTGGCCTGATACTGCTTACTTGTGAGATTTTAGGAAAGTCTGAAGCATGAACCAAGAGAGGCCATGTGTATGGAAAAGCCACTGGTAACAGCTTTGATGGGCCCAAAAGTTGAGGGGGACAAGGTCTCAGGGAACCACCAGTGTTAGCCAGGTTGATGGAGACTCAGATGTAGTGCCCATCTGCAGGCTCTGTGAAGGGAGGTCTCAGCGAAGGAACAATGGAATCTTCCAGTACTTTTTGAAAACAATTATTTATTTGTTTGTTTGTTTGTTTATGATAGGTGAAGAGAGGGGGGAAGACATGGAGAGAAACGTTAATATGTGGTTGCCTCATGCATCCCCCAACGGGGGACCTGGTCTGCAACCTAGGCATATGCCTTTGCCTGGGAATTGAACCAGTGACCCTTTGGTTTGCAGGCCAGTGCTCAATCCACTGAGCCATGCCAGTCAGGGCTCTGCCAGTACTTTTGTCTACCAAAAAGCTTCCCTTCTAGTCATGATCCTGAAACCAGACAATTCAGGTCTTCCCTGCATGTTTCGGGTGCCTTTCAAGCTGCTACCCCAGTTCTGAAGCTCTGAGCAATGAGTCCTTGTAAGTCTATGCATGGGCCCTTTAAGAAGAATGCCTGGGACTCCAGAATCCCTCCATCTCCTCAGCCAAAATCCCTGCTGGTTTTCACAACCAGAAGTTATGGGGACTTCTCTTTCTGGCACTGAAACCCTGGATTGGGGAGCCTGGTGTGGGGCTGGGACACTTGGCTCCTCAAAGGGATCTGTGCAGCTAAGATGTCCTTCCTAATTTTTAACTGCAACACATGGGTGTGGCACCAGTCCATTTTGCACCTCCACTCCTCTTACAAGTCTTGATGTGGCTTCTTTATATATTTAGTTATAGGACTTCTATCTAGCTAGATTTCAGGCATTCTGAATAATGGTTGTTCTGTAATTCAGTTGTAATTTTGATGTAATTGTGGGAAGTTTCAAGTACCACATTTACCTGCACCACCATATCGACCAGAACATGTTTTAAAAAGATTTTATCTATTTTTAGAAAGGGGAAGGGAGGGAGAAAGAAAGGGACAGAAAACTCAATAAGTGGTTGCCTCTCACATGCCACTCCCTACCCAACCAAAAACCTGGCCTGCAACCCAGGCATGTACCCTGAACTGGGAATTAAACCAGCAACCCTTCAGTTCACATGCCAGCAGTCAATTCACTGAGCCACACCAGCCAGGACAGTTTTTTTTTTCTTTAACAGCCTCTAATATATAATGTTCTGTGTAGGTTCCCCTCAGCAATAATATTTCAATGTCTAGGGTTGGAAAATCTAAGTCTGGAGTTTCTAGCTATGTTCTACAGAAACCTGGAATTATACAGAGGATTTTTGGCAGGACAAAACTGGGGGTGGGGGGTAGGGGCTAGGCTTCATTCAGATCATCTCATTTGTTTTGTGTATAAAAGTTTTTGATATCTATTGAAGGATGATAAAGAAAGGAAAAGGTGTTTGAAAACCACTTTTTTTGGTCCAACTTCCTCTAAAGGTCAGATAGGAATGTTAAAAACACAAATTTTAACTTTCATGGTTGAAAGTAAAAAAATGCTAGCCAAAATGAAAATACAGTCTTGTGGTATGAAGTCCAATCCACTAGCGGATGGCTTGGTAGAAAAGACAGATATGTCCCTTGTTTTGGAGTTTGCAAGCCTTTTTATATATCAAGTGAGGAAATGGGAAAGAAAGATGTAAACCTTCTGAAAGAATTTACATTAGCTATAGGCTATTGTTGTGTTGGCTTTGTTATTTTTAAATTTAGATTGAGTCCACAAGACAGGCCTCCTTGGGTTGTTAGTTTATACTTGGGAAGACTAGAACAAGGGAAAAGAGGTCAGTGACCCTGAATAAATGTTAGATATTGCACTAATCAACAAAAGGAACAAGCAAGGAAACTGTAACCAAAAACATTGAAATAAAGAACAAACTAACAGTAACCAGAGGGGAGGGGAGAGAGGGTTAATGGGGGAAAATAGCAGAAGGTCCATCAAGGAACATGTATAAAGGACACAAGGAGAAAGCCAAAGGGAGTAGTTTCAAGGTGGGAGGCAGGGATGGATGGGGCAGGGGTGCCATGGTGGGGTGAAAATGGAGACAACTGTACTTAAACAGCAATAATAAAAAAATTAGAAAAAAAATCTTGCAGCACACTGGGGTGCCTCTTGTGTCACACTGGTTGAAAACTGTTGGACTAGAGAAAAGCAATGGCAGCAGGAGAGAACTGCCAGGTCAGGGGTCATAGAAGAGTGGGCAGTATTAATGAGACATAAATAGGCCTCATGTCACAACAGGTTGGCATCAGTGAGTTCTTTCTCAGTAATTTACACTTGCCACAAAATGACAACTCAAGGCTGGGAACATTGAGGTGAATTGGCCACAAGGTGGCAGCCCTTGACCAAAATTCTCATGGAAGCTGTCTTGTTCTAGTCTTCCCAAGTATAAACTGACAACCCAAGGAGGCCTGTTTTGTGAACTCAATCCATTGTCATTAACAGTTACCTCTGGAAGAATTGTTGCAAGTAAACTTTTGATGTCATTCAAATGGATGAACTGACAGAATGAATGTACCCTTTGATAGCTGGGTGATCTGGGGCAAACATTCTTGGGCATTCCCATACCTACGACAGCATGACTGTGTTTGTACTAATATCCTACAGTGGGACATAGGAGTTGGGCACGTTATGGGTTTGATGTCCAGATTCTTCTAATTATGGAATTTTGGTCAAGTGCTATTCATATTTTGCAAGCCTCAGTCTTCTCACCTGTAAAGTGGTCAGGATAAGAGTGAAACGGTACTTATGAAAATATTTGAATTATTGTGATTACTTCTATTGTTATTTAACATTCCAGTCTAATAATGAATAAGAAAACACTACAATCACTAGAATGTTGGTTAAATTTATGGCTAGTGTTTTAATTTCTTTATACATACAGAATGTGCTGAAGGTCATATGGCAGTGCTTGGCTTAAGCCCTGTAAGATGCCAAAGCCTAGATAGAACTGTCCCTTGATAAAGAACTCAGGAGCCCTGCTTCCTGGTTTTTGTTGTTGTTGTTGTTGTTATTGTTGTTGTTGTTGTTGTTGTTGGATGCAGGGACCAGGATAGTGGCACTGCCCTCAGGCCTCCTCCCCCAGCCATATTGCACACCTTGAGGTTTTCTAGGGGCATTGTCCTCCCAGATGCAGTGTGAGCAGTCTTCCCCTCTATCACCACTCCAGAGAGTACAAGCCTTTGTACGTTATTTGGCCACTGCATTTGGACAAAGAAGCACTTCTAGGAGCTTTTCTCATCACCAGGCAGAACTCTCTAGTCCACAGAGTTGTTGGAAATCCAGTCCAGTTTCCATCATAAACCATTTGTTAGTTTTACTTCTGGGTGTGGGAGTTTCCTGCCACCAAGGGTTTTCCTAGTCTTCTGCCCTCGCATCATCAGATCTCGCTTGCACTTGAACATGAATACAGGAAGACAAATCACAACAACAAGAAGTATCTCTGGTGTGCATTCTTCGTGGTTTACATATTCGCTATTTGTATATCTCATAGGAGGAAACTGGCACTATTCTCTTCATTTTCTAGATGAGGAAACTGAGACCCAGGTAGGTGGAAAGACCTGCCCAGGGTGATAGAGTTGAGAGGGGTAAAGCCAAAACTTGAGCACAGTTCTTTTGTCTTCTGTTCTGACACTCTCCCAGTTCCCTTGCTGCTTCAGAGTAATGTTTCTGAAACTTGCTAAAGCATTTAATAATTCATGATTACTTATTAACTTCAAAATATATTTTGTGCTTTCAGTGAAATACATGCTTCTCTTAACCTGTGTAATAACTTCTAGAACAGGATTATCTATACTCATCAAGTGAGGAAACCAAGGCTGCTAGGCACTTGCTCAAGGTCACAGCATTAGTGTATGGGGAACATATGCTCCAAATCAGTTCAGTATCTAAGCTTATATTTTGAGCTGTGTTTCTGACTACCTCCCATTGGGTTGGTTGGGAAGGAGAGTAGGGAGGAAGGACATGGTTGAAGGGACTGGAGGAGCAGAGGGAAAAGACACTGCTGGCTCTATGCATTGTGAGGACTATGTGTGCAGATCTGGGGATGCTCTGGCGGTACCAGGCAGCCAAGCTCAATGTCTTGCTTCTCTTCCTGAGGATGCACAAGGGACAGGTGAGACCCATCTGTGACTGCATCAGTGGAGCCAGTGCAAAGGAATGGCTCAGTGCACATGCTGGGCACTGACAGAGGTCTTGGTGCCACTGTGCACCATCTAGTGAGAGGCAGAGGAGAGAGCCATGCTTTAGTGGATGAACCAGACACAAAGACTGTGTCTCCTGGGGCTTCACTCTCCATCCTAGCTTTTCCTGAAGAGATCCAGCAACTGGATGCCTTGAGTCAAAACTGACAGTGCTGTTGGTTTTTGGTAGCTGACAACAGGAGTGGAGTATCTGGTCACCGTGAAGATTAGCCGGACCAAGTGCAGGAAGAACAGCACAAAAAGTCACTCATGCCCCCTTCAAAGCGGGAAGAATTTGAAAAAGGTGTGTGGTGGAAGCCATCTGAGAAGGGATTCCTAATCAAGGGGAGAAAACTAAAACATTTAAAAGTTAACACAAATTGGACATTGACAACTTCTCCATCTGTATGAGTTGGAGCAGAGCAAGACCACAGTCCTAGTGCTGCTGATGCCATCCGAGGGGCTAGGGTAGGAGGAAGCCTCTCTAATTGGGCAGTTCCCCCACCTCTAGGCTGGCACAGGCTGGTCCCAGGCCTCCAGGTCTCCTTGCCCACTACTGGCCTTCAGTGGAAGTAGCATTTTCTTTCCTTGGGGACCTTGTTCTGATTTTGACTTGCACTCGAAGTCCCTGAGGATTGTCCCATTGCTTCTTTGTCTTCCAGAATCTGACCATTCTTCTCCTGGTTTCTCTTGGTGGCATCACCTTAGGGCAAATATGTGGCTCTCCCTGTTCCTGGGTGCAAGTGTAGGAGGACTGGGGCTGGAGGAGGGCTCTCAAGATAGACCCAGGAGCCAGGCAGGGGGAGCCCAAGGTGACATTCCTGTTCTGGGCCTGGCACCCCCTCTGCTGCCACCAGAGGACTGTGAGCAGATTCTCCTCACCCACATTGTCAGTGTGCAGGTTCAGCGATGGTTCTAAACTCCCCAGTAAGGGCCTAAGGGGATCAGGAACTTTTGGTTTACCTTCACAAAATATCCTCCTGAAAGCTGAATTTGACTTTTTCCTTCCACAGAGTTTCATTTGCAATTTTTTGATGTACACCGTGCCCTGGATGAACTATTACCAACTTTGGAATAACTCCTGTCTAGAGGCCTAAATAGGTTTGTGCAAAGATCCTTGATGAAACCTTAGACAAGTGTGCTGTGCACTTTCTATTATAGACTTCTGGAAGTACATCATTGCCCTCAGCCAGATCTCACAACACACACATTCACACTCTCATGCTCACATACAAACACACACAAACACACAAATTCATATCCACTCACACTCACCCTCACTCAGTAGTCTTTAGGGGCTGGTTCAATTTAAGCGAGAAAGTTGTTAAGTCTCTGGGGGAATCTCATAATTTTTTCTACTTCAACCCATATCTCTGAGGCTTTTCATTATTGAGGTACATCCTGACCTCTGGCCTGAGCTTGGGGGAGGTCTGTTTCTTCCCCATGTACATACAACTCTGTGATTGACACATTTCTTTTGAGTGTGTCCAAGGTCTTCAATACCAACCCCCCAGGATCATCAATTCACTAGAAGGATTCCCAGGACTTAGCATAGAGTCCTAAATAGCTGTGATTCATTACAGTGAAAGGACTCAGAATAAACTTTGCAAAAGAAGAACTAGAGTGGAGAGATGAGCCTGGTGATGTTCAAAATCCTGAATCACGCTGTTGGGTGGATGATGCTTATTCTCCATCTCTAATGTGCCATCCATGAAAGAGGACACCCTTCACACAGCATTCTTGATTTCCCCAATAATTTCTTTCCTCCAAATTAGATGAATTAGATTAATTCCTCCAGGAAAATGTGGACATTGTAGCCCAGGTCCTACTCCTTCCCACTGGGGGCACACATTTTCCTTGGCAACTTTGGGAAAGTAATCTCTTTGTGAAGATACCTGCTCTGGTCCAGAGTTGCTAATGCTGGGGATGTAAGTCTAATTCTAGGGTTTGGTATTAGAAAGTGCACTTGCCTATAAAAATAAGGCACATCTCCTAAGAGCAACAAAGTCCTTATCAGCAACAAAGTCCCCTTATCTTTTTTTATTTACTTGTATTATTTCTTGGTGTTTTGTCAATATCTGTTGTCTGTTCAGTTAAGTAACTTAGAGCTTCTTTTCTACTCCCTCTGCTTCTTCCCAGTGTCTCTGTTTTGTTTTAAAATCTAAAGAATCCTAACCGATGTGAGGATGGGGTTGAAGTTCTGCTATCATACAGATTATATAGGCTATAAAGCCAGGAATTATTCATGTCACCTCATTTTGACCCCAAAATTGCCCTGGCCCAGAGAATCTTCAGATTATATTATTATGAACTGAAGAGTTGTGGGTGGAAAGTGGAATTATACACATTAAGAGAAGAGGTAAAAAAAAACACACATTTATTTTCCATGCTGAGAATCACTGTTGTTGCAGGATACTTTCACATGTAGTGACTGCAGGTGTTTGCTCCAGGACACCTAGCCATTGGTGCAATTTTTGTTTAGAATTTTGTACTTTTCAAACCAGGGAACAACAAACACTGAGAAAAAGCACTCAATTTGCTAAAAAACAAAAACAAAACAGTATTTTAAAAAGATAACATGCAAAGTGAAAATTTTAAAAGGGAATGGAGAGGAATAGTACTTGTGGATGGGGAAAATGAGACTACCTCACTCCCTATTACCTCACTCCCTATAGTTTGATCTTTATTTTGATTTTAATTACTTAATAGTATTGTGGCTGAGATCATCCCAGAAAATGTCCTTCAATTTGTATTTAAATTTAGAGACTAGAAATAAAGTGTCTACCCCTCGCATATTCACTGAGGCTTCATCCATTTATTCATCCATCCATTCATCTATCCATCCTCTTGCCCTTCTCCATCCTTATTTCCATCCTTTTAGCCCTCCTTTATTTTACCTTCTTTTCACCCAATCCACTCATCTTTCCTTCTTTCATCCCATTCTCATTTGCCCATCCATACACTCATTCATGACATCCTTTCCTTCCCTTGTCCCTATCCTCTTTCAATATTTTCTTTTTCTTGTTTACTCTCCACTTTCCCCGTGATAAAAAATCAATAAATAAATTTTACATATTATCATTTTTAGTGTCATTTTGTTCTCTTGCTCTTTATTGAAAAGTCCAGGGTGGGGAATGGGAGTGGTGGTGAGAAACTTAACTACAGGAGTGGGTATAAATAGGTTTACCATTGTAATACAAATAAATAACACAACAATTAATAAATACAATAATAAACTGTGTTTCACATACTCACAACTGTAAACATATTTTTACCCACTCCCCTGTATTTCCTTTTTTCTAAATTAAAAATCAGAATACTAATTCCACCCACTAAATATGTTACATCAATAAGATACTCTAATGTTACTGTACTGCTCTCTTTAACTACTTTTCCTGTAGATTTCCTGATCTTCTCCAGAGAAGAAACATTTATGAAGAAAGTGTGAGAACATGTTTCTATGCTGAGAATATCTAGGTCACTACATCTATGTTTATCATATAAATTATGAACCAGGACATGTTGTAGTAAATGGGGATGACATTAATGATGTCACTAAAAAGCTAGGTGTAAATCAGGAGTATTCCAGGCAGTGTGGGGCTTATTTGGGTAAGTGAAGTGATGTGCAGGGCATGTAGGCATCGAGACCTTCAAGACCCCTATGCACATGGGCCCTTCCTGACTGTGCACCCTGCAGAACTCTATGCATGATGGTCCAGCCAGCCTCCTTGGACATGACAACACTGGGTGGGAATGAAGGTTTAGGGAACTAAGCCACAATTGGGGGAGATGGCTCCTCAGCAGATCACACACACATACAATTTTGACCTGCCCTATCCAGACCCACTCCTACCACTAGTTAAACTATCTCTGAACTCATTTTTCTTATTTCTTCTCCCTTTTTGTCTCAACACCCCTGGGATAAAAGGAATAGAGGCCAGTAGCCCAGTGACTGTGTGTTAATGTCAGGCTGATAGTCAGATACTCATCTGGGTGTACCAGCAAGGTCCCACTGGCTGCTAAAATATTGTTAATAATTAACTACTTCCCTGAACCCCAGAATGTTTCATTGCAGCTCAGCCACTTAACTCCTCACTCTAAACCCTTTCAACCTCCCCATTATTTTTCCAGCAACAGAGCCAGTGTCTGCCAGACATGATCTGTGTCACTTCCACCTTCACTGTTTTGTCTTGAGAAAGCAGGTGTTTGTTATCTTGCATTCTTTTTTAAGTAAGCTTAAATATATCTCCAACAATTCTACCCCACATCATTCTAAAACCACAGAAAAAAATTAAAAATTAGTTCTTTCTGAGTCAATGTGCTTTCACCCAGTACCTTGTAAAGCTCCCCTTCTTGAAAGGTGCAGTTTTTGGTCTCCAGCCTTTGACAAGTAGTCCGCCGCATCTCTAAGTTCATGTGATACTCCATGTGGTCTGTAATCTGTGGGAAGCAAGTGGCAAGGAGATAAAAGGATTTATTCTTCTTCTCCATAACTTCTGGGAGTGGGTAAAGTCAAGGACCCCATCTTAGACAGAATGATGAAGCTCTCCTTTAATTATCTGATTCTTATACTTTCTACTGCTACTAGAGAAGAAATCACTAGAAACGACTCCATGGGCAAAGCCATTCATTAGAAAACCCAAATTATGCCAATTATTCTGGTATAGGATCTGTAAACATTGTGTATAAAGAGCCGGAGAGTGAATATTTAAGCTTTGTGGGCCATGGCCTTGGTTGCAAGTACTTAACTCTGCAATTGCAGTGTAAAAGCAGCCTCACATAACATGACACACATGGTGTGACTTGGAGCCTATGAAACAACTTAAAGAAGCAACAGCAGGCAGATTTGACCCATGATATACTGACCCCTGGTATCTGGTACCATTTAGGTGACTTAACTTCAGCTCCTCCAGTGAATTTGTTTCTCTTCAAATGCCCACTTCATACTAAATGAGGCTGACTGACATGTGAGTGGGCTTGCCCCAGAGTGCTAACAGTCCCCTGACATAAATGCATGATGAAGAGAGGGGAGAGAAACTCACTTACCAGCTTTTTGATCTTCAGGACTCGCACAATCCGGAAGCTGTACTTGTCATCACTTTCCCTGTTGAACTTGTTGGTCACGAACTGCATGGTGGCTATTACATAGGTTTCTGATGCAGGTACTTCTTGGACACTCATAAAGGTTTTCCTCCTTACTTGGCAGCTGAGGGCCACCAGGGCCACCAGAATGACTAGTAGAAGCTGTGGGGCCTGCCAGGGTCTGGCCATTGTCCCTCAGCTGTAAAGGAATAGGAAGAGCCCCCTCCACGTCCTGAGAGGGGACAGATGGTTTCTCACTGATGCTGACTGTTCTGGCCAGATTTAAGCCATCCTGCATTGGGTACCCACAGCTCTCCTCCCCCTCCCTCTTCATCTGTAGCTGAACCTGATGAATGGGAGATTTTGCAATGGTTGAAAAGTTTACTTTCATTTCCTCTCATCCTGTTCACAGATTACACTCATGCAAACACCCATCTCTTCCCTCTTAGGGGTTGCTCTGTCAGCAGCACCTCCTGCTTCTTCTGCTGCTCCAGCATTATTTGGGTGGAAGCCAGGCCAGGGGCCTCGGTTCACTGAATTCACCTCAACTAGCATTGTGGAAGGTCTGGAGTGACAGGAAGTGATACAGACACAGGGGACACTGGATCTTAGGGCAGTGGGCCATGAACAGGTGAGTGGGTGAACACCACCACATCCTCTGTGTCCTTTTGAACTTCCTTCTGATTTTCCTTGTCACCCTTCCCCACTTCTCTGGCTAACTAAGATATAAGCCTCCCTCAGGCACAAACCTTGGTCTCTTCTGCTGTGTTAATAATTCTTAACTTTGGGAAGTACATGGCCCCCTTGGAGAAGCTGATATCCCCAGAAAACAGAGGATGTGTCTTGTCTGGGGAGCAGGCTCCATTTACAAATTTAGTCATGCTGTTGATTTATTTTCTCTTTCTGCAGCCCCTTTAGATGGACTCAGCCATGCTATTTGTCCCCTGAAACCTTTTATGGCACTCTCAGACAATACAGACAGACTCAGCCTAATAGTGAAGATATTCCATGTGGTCAGCAACCTCTCCATAAATGTCAGAACTTTGAACCTCCTAGAGGCCTGCATGTGGGAAGGAGCGATTGCTGCTTTTTTTCTTCCCCATCTACTCTAGGTACTCTACCTCCCACATCTCACAATCAGGGGTTTAAGGACCTTTCTAATGCTAGTACTAGGGGGAGTTCAAGGGGCAGAGGGACTGGAAAGTTCCTACTGGTTCCAGATTCAGTGCTTCTTGAACTTGGTGAAATTTAGAGCTGGTTGTTCTGTGGGTCCCTTCCTGCCACTCCACTGCTAGTTAACTCTCCTCTCAGCTGTCTTGGAAGCTGCATTAGTTTATTCTGACTGTAACAAGTTACCACCAACAGTGGTTTCAAACAGCACAAATTTATTCTACAGTTTCCTTTGAGACTTGGATCTGCCTGGGTTTTCCTCTGTGGATCTGAGGCCAAATTGGAATGCCTGGGCCACAGAAGAAAGGCTGAGTTCTCAGTCAGGGGTTCTCTTTGTCTACCTTGCTTAGAGAACGTGGCCTTCTGCCCAGGTCTCTTACATCCCTGCCTTAGCTCAGTCTTGAGGCTTCCCTTCTGGTGCATATGGTCCCCCTTTCTTCACTTTGTTAACATCTACTCATCGTCTTGGACACTGCTCCAGGGTCATCTCCTCCAAAAAGTTTCTTCTGCTAGATTGGTTCCCCCCTCTGCCCAGGTTTCTAAGGATGCCACTCCATTAGGCATATTTCCATAAGAGTATGTAAGGCTGTCTTTCATTTCTGGTTTTTTGTTTGCCTCTGACACCTGACTTTAAGCCCCTCAGGATAGTGAAACCAGACTGTGAGAGCTTATGGCTGGCTCCATTATATTAGGTGACTATGGGCAATTTGTTTATATTTGATGTGCTTTGGTCTTATCTTGAAAAAGTGTATAAAATATACATCTATGTATGTGGCTGTTCTGATAATTAAATAAGACAATTCAGGCAAAGAACTTAGAATGGTGTTCAAGAATTGTCAGCTATCATCATCACCGTTATCATCATCATCATCATCATCATCATCATCATCTCTGACAGTGCAGTTTCTGATGTTCAATGAATTACTGACAGTGTTCACACACACAAGGATATGCACAAGGATTAAGACTTGGCTCCTTATCTTGCTCATCCTTTGTGCCCAGCCAGTCTCCAGGTCTCATTGGGTCATTCTTTGTAATACCTCTCAGAGATGCCTAGCACGGAAGTACCACATATCAGGAATTTGTTTTATTTAACACTGCATCCCCAGGGTCTTGCACAAAGTAATTATTGAAAAATATATTGAATGAAAGAAAGAATGAATGAATGAATGAATGAGTGAATGAAGTTCTTTTTCTCCAAACTGCATACCCAGGGCCACCTCTCAGCCTGCTCTTCAATGTGTCCATGTGGACTCATGTAATACCCTAGCTCCTCATGCTCACTTTGGTGTGTCCTGAACACAACAGTCAGCTTTATCATAACTGTATCTTGCTATCAAGTCTTCAAAGCTTCCTATGGCCTAGCAAAAAAAGACAAGGCATGTTTACAGCATCACTTCTGTTTCTTCCTTGGTTTATGCTCTGCTGACAGTTATATGAGAATGCCTCTTCCACAAATTCCACTCATCCTCCCAAAACCCTCACAGGCACCTCAAATGCATTTATATTAATCTGGGAATAATTATGACAAAGTTGCTTCACAGCTTGCAAGATAAGTGGAGGTTCCCTGTTGGAACAATTGAGCCCCCTCAAGGCCCACACTAACAGATGTCAAGATACCTCTCCCAATGTAAGAGTAGGGCACTGTAATAGTGGGGAATAGTAACCCACCCCACAATTCTTTTGACATTGTTTCTAGAATAATGATTCTGAATAATATGTAGCTTGTAGATAAATAGCATATTTATACAAGAATACGCTATTTAGGAAACAAATACAAATACAAGAATATTTGTTTTTAGGAACAAAGCATAAGAATAAATACATATGTCAATGGAACAGAACAGAGAGCCCAGATATAAACCCAACTCTCTATGGTCAATTAATATTCAACAAAGGGAGCAGACACATAAAATGGAGTAAAACTAACCTCTTCAACAAATGGTGTTAGAAGATCTGGAACGCTAGATGCAAAAAAAAAAAAAAAAGAAGAAGAAGAAAGAAAAAAGAAGGAAGGAAGGAAGGAAGGAAGGAAGGAAGGAAGGAAGGAAGGAAGGAAGGAAAGAAGGAAGAAAGAAAGAAAAACTTGACCATCAACTTACACCATACACAAAAATAAACTCAAGGTGTATAAAAGACTTAAGTATAAGTAATGACACCATGAAAGTCCTAGAACATAGACAGGAAAATCTCAGTTATTCCACACACCAATATTTTCACCAATATGTCTCTTAGACCAAGGGACATAAAGGAAAGAATAAACAAATGAGACTTCATCAAAATAAAAAGCTTCTTCACAGCTAAAGAAAACATTAGCAAAATGAAAAGGGAACCAACTATGTGGGAAAATATATTTGCAAATGATACATTAGACAGGGGTTTGATCTCCAAAATATATAAAGAACTCACACTACTCCACTCCAGGAAGACAAACAACCCAATTAAAAAATGGGCAAAGGACCTGAACAGACACTTCTCAAAGGAGGACATAAAGAAAGCCCAGAGACATATGAAGGTGTGCTCAGCATTACTAGCCATCAGAGAGATGCACATTACAACCACAATGAGAGACCACTTCACATGAGTCAGAATGGCCATCATAAATTAAGAAACAAGTTCTGCCTATGCACCTCAATGTTCATAGCAGCACAATTTTACAATAGTCAAGTGCTGGAAGCAGCCTAAGTGCCCATCAGCAAATGAGTGGTTCAAAAAACTATGGTACATTTACACAATTGAATACTATGCAGCAAAGAGAAATAAGGAGCTCCTACCCTTTGTGACAGCATGGATGAAACTGGAGAGCATTATGCTAAGTGAAATAAGTTAGGTGGTGAGGGACAAATACCATATGATTTCACCTTTAACTGGAACTTAATCAACAAAAGAAAAAGCAAACAAAATATAATCAGAGTCATTGAAATTAAGAACAATCTAGCAATAGCCAGAAGGAAGGGGGGACAGTGGGGAGAAAGGTTTTCAGGAACTATTACAAAGGACATAGGGACAAAACCAAGGGGGAGGGTGGAAGCAAGGAATGGAGGTGGGTTTGGAGCGGGAGGGGTGGGGAGAAAATATAGACAACTGTAATTGGGCAACAATAAAATAATTTAAATTAAAAAAAAAGAAGCAACAGGTTCTGGCAAGGTTGTGGAGAAAAGATAACCATAGTCTACTGTTGGTGGGAATGCGGACTGGTGCAGCCACTGTGGAAAACAGTATGGAATTTTCTCAGAAAATTCAAAATGGGACTATCTTTTAACCTGGCAATTCCACTGCTAGGATTATACCCTAAGAATCCTGAAACATCAGTTCAGAAGAACCTATGCATCCCAATGTTCATAGCAGCACAATTTACAATAGCCGAGTGCTGGAAGCTACCTAAGTACCCATCAGTAAATGAATGGATCAAAAAACTATGATACATTTGCACAATGGAATACTACACAGCAGAAAGAAAGAAGGAGCTCCTATCCTTCCTGACAGCATGAATGGTTGTGGAGAGCATTATGCTAAGTGAAATAAGCCAGTTTGTGAAGGGCAAATACTATACAATCTCACCTATAAGTGGAACCTAATCAGCAAAACAAACAAGCAAGCAAAATATAACCATAGACATTGAAATAAAGAACAAACTGACAGTAATCAGAAGGGTAGGGGGAGAGGGATAATGGGGGAAAATAGGGAAGGGGTCATCAAAGAACATATATAAAGGACACATGGACAAAGCCAAAGTGGGTAGGATCAAGTGTAGCATGCAGGGATGGATGAGGCGGGGGGAGTAGAGGGGAGAAAATGGAGACAACTGTATTTGAACAACAATAAAAAAAGAAGATAGCTGCTGAAACAAACAAAAATGAATCTTAAGAACTAACTTAAAAAAATACAGACTCTGACCTTCAGGCATCCCTAGTCCAGGATGTTTGCTGACCTTCAAACCATGAATCCAGTATGACATAAAGGTGGGATGATGTTAAGCCAGGATGGTGTACACCGGACCATCATTTGTCTTATCAGTG